GAAGGAAGGAAGGAAGGAAGGAAGGAAGTAAGGAAGGATGGAAGGAAGGAAGGAAGGAAGGAAGGAAGGATCCATCTTAGGGCTGTATTTGCACAGGGGTTTTGAGGCAGGATTTGCAGTGGCCCTGCAGGATGAGCAGCCAGCACGAGCTGCACGTGGGCAGCCCGGGGATGTCACTGCTGTCACTGCGAGGGCTCTGCTGCTCCTGCTTTCCCCACAGCCCCAGCTGCAAATTTAGCAACAGCGCCTGAGCTTCTCTTTGTGCTCTCCCACGTCCTGCCCTGCCACAACTCCCGGCTGTGTGCGGTTCTTCAAAAGCTCTGCTTAGCAACCTGGCAGCCTGCGGGCTGCAGAGCTGGGAGCTGGCTCCTGGCAGTCCCCTCCTGCCATTCCAGTCCCCTCCTGCCATCCCTGCTCCTGGCAGTCCCCTCCTGCCATCCCTGCTCCTGCCATCCCTGCTCCTGGCAGTCTCCTCCTGCCATTCCAGTCCCCTCCTGCCATCCCTGCTCCTGCCATCCCTGCTCCTGCCATCCCAGTCCCCTCCTGCCATCCCTCCTCCTTCCAACCCTATTCCTGACATTCCATCCTCACTCCTTCCATCCCTGCTCCTGGCAGTCCCCTCCTGTCATTCCATCCTCACTCCCGCTATTCCCCTCCTGCTATTCCCCTCCTCTCATTCCCGCTCCTGCCATTCCTGCTTCTTCCATTCCATTCCCACTCCTCTCATTCCCACTCCTGCCATTCCCATTCCTGCCATTCCCACTCCTCTCATTCCCTCTCCTCTCATTCCCACTCCTGCCATTCCCATTCCTGCCATTCCCACTCCTCTCATTCCCTCTCCTCTCATTCCCAGTCCTCCAGCAGGGAGCCCAGAGCCAGCCCAGGTCCCTGCTCCTGCTCAGCACCGCCCAGGGCCCGGTGAGCACGGTGACACTTGTGTCACCTCCCGGCAGCCCCGGAGCCGTGGGAGCCCCATCCCTGCTGCTGCCACCGGGAATATTCCTGTGGAGCAGATCCAGGAGCAGAGGAGAGGTAATTTCAGAGCCCTCAGCAAACCTCCTAAGGCATCCCCAGAGGGAAGCAGGTGAGACTCCAGCAGGCATCACTCGAGAGATACGGATCTAGCGTGGTTTATTTTATAAAAATATCTCCTCTCCCTTTGTGGAAGGGACGGCAAAACAAACCAGGGGAGCTCTGAGTCCCTTCTCCCATCGCTCCCAGCCCCGTCTTCCACGGCAGAGCCACCCCAGGAGCAGCAGGGACCCTCTGGAGAGCTGAGATGGATTGGATTGAGGACAGGACCCGAATCTTCTCACTCCAAAATCTGGAGACTCTTGCAGCTCCCGTTTGCCTGCGGCTGGGAGCAGAGGGAGGCAGGACAGGGCAGGCCCAGGGCGAGCAGGGAGGGCTGGGAGAGTCTGGGGCGAGGGAGAGGAGCTCAGGGGGACAGGTAAAAGCACGAGAGGGGCGTGAGTCAGGCTGGCACAGGGCCTGTGCGCAGAGCCCCACGGCAAAGGGGGCACGGAGCCAACCCCGGGCAGGAGAGAAGGCACTGGAACAAAAGGCAGCCCCAAATGGGCTGGGACAGAGCTGCCTGCTCCTCCTGCAGCAGCACCCCGAGCTGGGCTGTGCTCCTGGCTGGCAGCTGGGCACAGCTGGGCACACCTGGGTACAGCTGGGTACACCTGGGCACACCTGGGGCACACCTGGGCACATCTGGGTATACCTGGGGCACACCTGGGGTACATCTGGGGCACACTTGGACACACCTGGGCACACCTGGAGCACAGCTGGGTACACCTGGATACACCTGGATACACCTGGACACATCTGGACACACCTGGGGCACACCTGGATATACCTGGGCACACTTGGGTACACCTGATCAGACCTGGAGCACACCTGGATACACCTGGGCACACCTGGGGCACACCTGGGCACACCTGGGCACACCTGGGGCACACCTGGGCACACCTGGGCACACGCAGACACACCCCAGGCTGGACTGGGGCCCCTGCAGTGGCTGCAGGAGAATCCAGGACATTGTGGGATGATGATGACCCCTCAGTGCAGCCTCAGAGGAGGGCAGGGCCCTGCCCCGTCCATCTCCGGCTCCCCCAGGGGCTGCCTGAGCCTCCCCAAATATTTCAGAGTAAAAATCTTTAATGAATAAACGATTTTCAGCCGCCCTGCTCGTCTTCCCCTGCAGCCACGCTGCTGGGACACCAACACCAACATCTCCAGCTCCATCCCAGGGATCCCTTCCCAGCCAGAACCTTGGTGTCCCACCCTTGGAGCACCTCCAGCACTCCAGCTTGTCCCTTGTCCCAACAGGGAACAACCCCTGACCTCCAGAGAAGGGCTGATCCCATCTCCCTGACCTGTTCTGGGTACAACTCTTCACCACAGCAGCTCAAGGGCAGCTCCTTGGGGCAGCAGAGCAGAGCCCAGAGCCTGCAGGCACCAAAATCCAGCACAGCCCCGTGGAAATCAGCTCCTGACGCCCATCCCGTGTTTGTACAAGCACCTGGTTCCCTCCCAGATGTTTGCAGAAGCTCGGGGAGCTGGCACCGAGGCGAGGAGCTGGCCTTTAATTAACCAAAAGGCAAATAGGGGGAGGAGGACGACGTCTGCAGCCTGCTCTGCTCCCCTGGCAGGAGCTCTCAGCTCCTCCGGGCTCCTCACGCGCCCGTCTCTCCTTGGGAATGTCCTTCTGTGCTGGAAAGGGCTCTGCTGGCGCTGCTTTCTGCTCTCCTGCTCCCTTTGGGGCTCCACAAAATCCATCTCCTGTCCCTCTCAAGCACGCAGAGGAAGGAGCCAGCCAGCTGGGAGACCCCCAGCAGCAAAGTGAAGCAGATTTAGGGACAAAACAACCACACTGGAAAGTTTTAATATCTGTTCCAGCCCCCATGGACCCCCAACCATCCCTGTTCCATCAGGGATGCAAGGACAGCACGCAGGGAATGGTTCCCCCTGCCAGAGGGGAGGGTTGGATGGGATATTGGGAATGAATCCCTCCCTGTGAGGGTCAGGAGGGGCTGGGATGGAATTCCCAGAAAATCTGTGGCTGCTCCATCCCTGGATGTGTCCAAGGCCAAGCTGGAGCAGCCTGGGATGGTGGGAGGTGTCCCTGCCCATGGGATGAGCTCGGGGGTCCCTCCCGACCCAAATCCCAAATTCTGGGATTCTGAAACGCCTGATCCCAGTTTTACAGCCTGACTGTCCCACACACAGCCCAAATCCAGGCCGATTTCCATCACTTGTATTTCAAAGAGAGCCAGAAACAGCTCGGGAATTTCACCACCCGTGAAAGGAGGGACAACCAAATCTCCTGTCGCTTGTTCAGGGGTCACTTCCCCCTCCTCCCTCAGCTGCTGGCACCTCCCGGCCTCGCTGGCAGGGATGAGCAGCAGGAATTAACTCCTGCTCCCCCCTGGAAGCGTCCGTGGGCCGCAGGGCTGGCCCCGGTGGATCTTCAGGTGCTTGGCCAAGTGGTCACTGCGGGCAAACTTCTTCTCACAGGCTGTGCACTGGTAGGGCTTGAGCCCGGAGTGGGAGCGCTTGTGGCGGGAGAGCTCATCCGAGCGGGAGAACCTGCGGGAAAAGTGGGAATGCTGGATCCAGTGACCCCGGCACAGCCCCAGCTCTGTCCCTGCCGCAGCCTCCTGGGTTCCAGAGGAACCAGAGGAACCAGGTCCCGAGATCGACCCCTCCAAGGATTTGGAAATGGGAAAGAATTCACCCACTGAGACCTGAGTTTTCTTTCCCTTGCTCTCAAAGGACGCTGTCCACCTACTTCCTCCATTTGTTTTTCCCTGCTGGAACCTTCCGGCCCAGGCACTGGAATTGGTTTTTTGGGAAAAGAGCTCAGGCTGGCAGTGGCCAGGGGCCAGGAGCCTGGGTGGGAATGCTTTCCTGGAGCTCCACATCCAGCCCCGAGCAGGGGAGGGAAGGTTTTCCTTGGGGCTGTGGATTCCCCCTGGAGATTCCACCCTGGGGGAGCCTCACTCACCTCCAGCCGCAGTCGGGCCACCCACAGGTGTAGGGCTTCTCCCCCGTGTGCCGGCGGAAATGAGCCTTCAGGTGGGAGCTCTTGGAATAAACCTTCCCGCAGCCCGGGTGGGAGCAGCGGTGGATGCGGAGCAGGGATGGGGGACCCTGCTGGTACCCGGGGGCTGCCTCGGCCTCCTGCGCGTCCCCCGGCCCCGTGGCCACCGGCAGAGGGGCGATTCGGACGTACTTTTGGTCCAGGATGGTGCCGGGGGGCTGGAGCTGAGGGAGGAGGGGAGGGTTTGGGGTCTGCAGGCTGATCAGCAGCTGGGCCACCCTGACACCCCCAGCCTGGGGGGTGATGCTGTCCGTCGGGAGAGGCTGGAGCTGCAGGATAACGGGGACTGCCTGGTCACCGGCAGCTGTCCCCGCAGCGTTTGGGACGTGTCCTCCACCTCCTCCTCCTCTTCCTCCTCCTCCTCTTCCTCCGTGCGCCCCGCAGCCGAGCTCAGCTTCGCTCTCCTCATTCCACCCCGCGGGGTGAGGATCTCCTGCTCCATCCCTGGGGAGCTCTGCCTTCTCCCTGAGGAACTCCTCGATCTCCTCCAGCGTGGGGATGAAGCTCTGGGAGAGGCAGAAGTCGGGCAGCCTGAGCTGAGCCTCGCTGAGCTGGGCTTTGGGGGGCTCGCCCTTGGCACCCCCGGTGCTGCTCGCCAGGACGTGGCCAGAGCCCTCCGTGTCACCTGGCAGAAGGGACGGTGGCATCCTGCACTGCAGGGCGCTGGCCAAGCTCCCGAGCAGGGAAGGGCTGCTCGGGGAGGGCAGCAGGTCCTGGCAGCTCACAGAGACCATTCGGTGCCTCCCCACAGGAGCTCAGCTGGGGGATGCTCCGTTCATCTGCAAGGGAACGGCACACCGAGGTTATTTCCAAACAGCAAACCTCAACCTTTTAACAGAACTGAAAAGAAAACAGCAGAGCCTGGCAGCGCCTTTGTTTTTAAAGAGAAAAAACACGGGTTGGCCGTTTTCCTCCGAGACAGATTCCCCCCAAATTCTGGGGAGTTCATGGGGGTAAAAACACACCCGGAGCAACCTCCCTGTGCCGGAGGGCAGCTCTGCGCTGCTGGGTGGCGCAGGGGATGAGTCCGGGTTAGCCAGGGGCTCCTTGTGACCCGGGAGAGGATTCTGTGCCTTCTCCAGGCTGTGAATGCGGGCAGGCCCTGGCACAGCCACGGTTAAAGCTCCCCACCTGCACAGGTAGGAAGGAGCCAGCTCCAGGTGCTGCTGCCCCGCCTGGGGATGCTCGGCAGCGCTGGGAGCCCCAACACGCCGCGGTTCTGTCCGGGCAGGTCTGCCCAGCCCCAGCCCCGGCTCAGAGAGCCCGGCCAGGCTCAGCTCCGGGGCTCCTGAGGACACGAATGGCGTTTGCAGACAGCGGGGACAGAGCTCCAGGAGGAGCTGGGTGCGCTCGGGGGTCGCTGGTCGCTGTCACAGAGCCCCCAGACCCTGCTGGGGCTCAGGGAGGTGCCCAAGGACCCCCAGAGCAGCCACACAGTGTCCCTGTCCCCATCCTGCTCTGCAGCACCGAAGCACCCGGGGCGCAGGGATCTGTTTGTATTTAATGCAGAAATGGAGTTTCCAGAGGAAAGAAAAGCTTGGTCCAAGTCCCTTAAGAGCCTTTTCCATCAGATTTCTGTGGAGCTGCAAACCAGTCGGGCCAGTCCCTGTTATCAGCGCTCCCCAGGGTCCTGAGAGCTGCCAGAGGGAATTTTTGAGCACTCTGGATGTCACATAAATGCTCTTCTCCTTAGGAAATGGCCCCCAAACCTGCCAGGAACGAGCTGCAGGGTCCTCCCGGTGTGTCCAGCCCAGCGGGTCCCAGTGAGCAGGGACTGTCACCGCTCACACCAGAGCTAAAAAGGTGTTCAGGCCAATCTCAGCCTCCAGGCTTGGAATTTTCATCACAGCCCAAATCTGTGCTCTGAACAACCCCTTCCAGGCAGCTCCACACCTTCTTTCGCTCCAGTTTTAGGATCTTTTGTCTTCTTCTGCATCTCCTCTTTCTGCGGGGAAAGCCTCCCCCCTCTGGCTACCAAAGGCTCCTGTTTACCTCTCCCAGCGTGTAAAAACCTGATTTTCCACCCAGCTCCTGCAGAGCAGCTCGGGGATCTCCATCCCTGCGGCCCGTCCCCACTCAGGAGAGCTGAATGAAACCCTTCACTCCTCAGGGAGCACAGCCCTGCTGCCGGGCTGGCAGCAGGAATAAAAGCACGGCCAGAGGGCTGGAAGGTGCGGAGATGGAGCCCAGCACCGAGGAGATCTGAGCAGAGCAGCCTTGGGGAAGTTCTTGGAGCTCCTCAGTTTCCCCGATTTGGGGCAGTGCTGATGCCCCAGCTGGCAGAGCAGCGCTGTGGGGCACTGCCACTGCCCTGTCAACCCAATTTTGCGCAAATGCCACCAGTGCTGTCACCCCAAAGGCACCGCAAGGAAACGGAGCCCTGGCTCTGTCCCTCGCTGCGAGGGCAGCGTCCTCCCCGAGCCTCGCTTGGCATTTCTGCTCCTGCGCTTGTCCCCGGCGGCTGCGGGAGAGCAGCACATGTGCAGCCCGAGCACACGGAGAGCCAGCCCGGCCCAAGGTCAGCCAGCAACAGCGGCGGCAGCCGGGAACGCAGCCGAGGGTCAGGGCTGGCCTCCGGTGACCGAGCGAACAAACACCTGGAAGCTCCCGGAGCCGGGGCTCGCACGGCGGCCGTGCAGAACCGGGGCTCGCCGCTTTCGGGGCGAACCGGCCGGTGCCGATGTCCCGGAGCA